AGGTAACATAGGTAAGCAGCACTATGTTGAAGTTTGTCTTCAACAAAGGCTAGGAGGAGTACTATGCCTCTATAGATGGAATGAGCTTGATGCTTTCTCTTGCTGAATCTATAAAATGCAGTTTGTTGTATTGAATTAGCAGCCTTTTTATAACTAAACCTAGAAATAGGATCCTCTACTCTTCAGGCAAATGTAACATCAAATTCAAAAATAGCTTCTCAGTATAACCTCTTAAATTCTCAAAGGTCTTTCTGCAGGGACTATACATTACACACATAAAAACTTTAAAATCAGAGTTTTTAATGGAAACTGGTTAAACAGATGTAAATCTTAGCTACGGTAGGCTGAAGCATGTGAAACTTCACTATGTGCTACTAAGACTCTAACTTATCAACCTAGCATGGGATCACAAAGCCTAACATTGAGTTCAGTTAAGCTGTTGGAATGCTCAAAGCTGCAGAACCACCTGGGGACATAAACAGAATTTTTAATCCGTTACCACAACATTTGAAAAGTGGGGATTTCAAGAGCTTATACTTAAATGCCTGCCTACCTAACTTATTCCTTAGTAACTACATGATCCTGCTAGTTGAGGAGATCCATAATGAACTGCATCTGAAATCACAGATAAGATGCCAATAGTTTCTGGATCAAAAATAGTGAGGGTACTCGGTAGGGGAACCCTGCTAGCTATCAAAGAACTCAATACATGTACATGTAATAACCACAAGGTGGCAGTTGAGAAGTAGAAATCTGTTTGCCTGTTTAGTCAACCCACTTCTCTTGCCAAACTAATAAAGGCAAATGTTCCAAGAGTATTTTAGTTTCTAAAATTGCTAAAACAATTTTAGTATCCAACAGCCTAATGAGAATTAGGACCCCATTTACTCTAGAGTTACATAAACATAAAAAAACACAAAAATCCCTGTCCTAAAGATTCTATGGTGTAATATAAAATGCACCAAGGGAAGAACAGAGGAGGAGAGTAACAGCGATAACCTATGCTCATAGACCAGATATATGCAACTAGCCTTCAAGTAGAATATGATAGCACATTAGTACTGAGCATCACCTTACAGTAGACTGCTTATTTCCCATCTCCCTTGTGTAGGAATGCTATAGCGATTGGTTATGGGTAGTGACTACAAAATGTTTAAGGATGACATGACATTCATATTATATTAATCATCCTCTATGCTACACAATTTGGTGCAAAGGATTTGACATTTAGGTCCAAGGCTACTACCTTATTTACCATACACATAAGCTACTGAAAAGCACCCTTAACTTGCACCTGTTCACACTGTGGGTACAACAGTAATTACAAGAGCTCTATATCAGACTAAAAGAAAAGGAGTACTTGTGGCACCTTAGAGACTAACAAATTTATTTGAGCATAAGCTTTCATGAACTACAGCTTCATCCGATGAAGTGAGCTGTAGCTCACGAAAGCTTATGCTCAAATAAATGTTAGTCTCTAAGGTGCCACAAGTACTCCTTTTCTTTTTGTGGATACAGACTAACATGGCTGCTACTCTGAAACATATCAGACTAAAATATTCTAAATGGATTTTTATACATTCTCATTAGGTTTATAAACCTAATGTAATAGGTTACATTAGTAGCTAGAGTTGACATTGAAAGATGTTTTTATATGAAGTTGGGTTGAATTACTATCAGGTTTTAAATATTTCAAATTCCCTCTAGCTTTTTAGATATAAAAGTTGTCAGGTTTTTTTATTAAAAAAAAAAATTCAACTCTTCCCAAACAAAAGCCTACAACAAAGAGACCAAATGTTAATCTGTTTAATGAGCTCATTTAATAAAATTTCTGACAAGACTCTGGAAGCTAAAATGGAAAGTGAGACTAGTACTCACGTATTTAAAAACAGATCCGTTTTCAGAAAACCTGTTTGCTATTTTTTTATTAAATACAGTAGATCCTCAGATGTGAACACCAGCAGAGATGAAAAAAGGCAAATACAGTACTGTGTTAAATGTAAACTGTTAAAGGAAAGTAACATTTTTCTTCTGGGCAGTAAAGTTTCAAAGCTGTATTAAGTCAGTGTTCAGTTGTAAACTTTTGAAAGAACAATCAACGTTTTGTTCAGAGTTACAAACAATCTCCATTCCCAAGGTGTTCATAACTGTGAGGTTCTACTGTGGTGTTATTCCCCACATACCCTTTTTAAGACTGAAGCAGAAATGAGAGATGTTGTGTTCTTCCCCAATATTCTTTGTTGATAGACAGCAAAGCCCAAAAACATGAGTCAAAATAATGAAAAATAATAAAATTCCACAATGTTTATGAACCAAATGTACAATTTGCCTTTAAGAGTTTAAATAATCCTCTCCATTTTAAAATAAAGAGGGGATGAGTAAAAATTAATCTAACTTTGTACATATTTCCAATTAACAACCAATCACTGGTATGTTAATAGTTTCCTAACATATCTTCCTCAGATAGCATATGATTTTTTATCGTAAAGAATTAAATCACAAATAACCTAAATCCTGTGTTTATTTTAATGTCATTTTCTTTTTACTTCCCTTGAATAATTTTTGTTTGGAAATATGATTTGCAAAAGTTACAGAAGGGGGGGGGGAGGAACTGCCATTTATGAATATAGCCATTCACCAAAGCTAGACCCCTGAACAACTTTCAACAGATTACAGCAGTAGGCTCTATAAATCAAGTTAAAGTGGCAGATTGTAATGCATTGAGAAAATAGACAGCTTTTTATAGCCTGGCAAAAAGATGCCCTCATCAAAGATACTGGTTTGCAAGTTTATTACTATATCTTATACTATATATATAGTATAACTTCCTATAAAATATTTGATTTGCTATTTATACTCATTCCTTTACTGTAGATTTTCCTTGTTTTCCCATTTTCTTACATCATCTTTGTAGAGGGTGGTGCAAAGAGTAGACTGGCCCAAGGATTTAAGTATACCCTTCCTAAACCATCCTTACTACATAATAGGGCATGGAGACAAAGTGACTGAAACCAGTGTGCCTCTTAGCTCTTCTGTTTGCTTCATGCCTTTTTTTTGTTTAGCTGTTACCAGCTGCCAGATGAAGTGTAGTAAAGTAACTTCCTCTTCTAGTTTAAAGTATCAGTGACAAACCTCCATCCATCCCAAATATTAGAGGACTATTCTGAGTTGCATGAGTCTGGATTGCATCTTACATAGCAAGTTTTTAGCACACAAAATCATTAACTTATTTCAGGAAGGAGTGAAAAACCACTGTGTACACACAGATGGAGTACAATATGGATGTATTTGGAGCTGGTACTATAGTTACACTTTTGTTATTTTGCTATTTATGTTACTACACATGAAAGATGAAAACTACCCAATGACTGAAGAGTACTAGTGCATTTGGAACTGTGGTGGTCTATGGAGGAGTAAGGAGAAGTTTTGCCTTGTAGCAGGACCAAATTAATTTATGGGTCCTATGCCATGTTTTACTCTTTTAGAATTATAAGGTTTTCAAATAATGTGTTTTTGGGGTTGACAAGTGCCTTGAGAAAATCATTGCATATTCAAGTGTTAAGTAGTCAACCCTTTATTCCCCCATGGAAAATGAAGGACAGAATGGTTTTGAGGACAAGGCATAGGAGTGGATGGTAGGAGAGAGAAATTTGACTTTCGGCTATACTACAGACTTGTAATTATAAACAAATCCCTCACTTTCCAAAGCAAGATATTGTTTGTAAATATCTTAATATCCCTGCCTCAAGCTTCTACAATAGTATAACATTGTGTTTTGATTAACACTAAGACATTTTCAAGCCTTAAAGGAGAGAAACAAAAGCTAAAAAAGCCTCCTTAGCCACAGCCTCTTAGGTTAGGGTTAGCTCTATCCCTTTTTATCAACATCTATTCTTTACAGTCATGAGGGAATTTTAAATGGTGAACTTTCAGTGGATTGTTAATTTGGACTTTACAAGAATAGACAATCATTTACTCATTAATAGTAGACCTATGATTGTGGGCAGTTTAAGTGAAATTTTCCACCTGCTTCCAATTAGTAAGCAGGGTCCTGATTGAAAGCATGTTGATCAGACCCTATGTTTTAAAACAGACTTAGGTTATAGTGGGCCTATTCTCCATGTGAAACCTGCACTAGCCAGTTACGGTCAATACACTTGATGTAAAATCTTCCTCTTTCCCCTTACCCCATCATTTGGGGTTGGGGTCATCATCCAAGCAGCACCCGTCTTTATCTGTTTGAGGCACCTGCTTACGGTCTTTGATTCAATCCATCCATTACTTGCTTCGCTCTCCTCAGAGTCTCATCCTTTGTGTGCCCGAACCAGTGAAATCCTGCTCCCCGCATTTTGTCAGCCACACCACGAACTTTGATTTCCATCCTAACCCCTTCGTTTGGCAACCTGTCCCAACCCGTAGCGAACACCTCTCATTCTGAACACCCGGGGGCCCTGAACCTCCCTCAGGTTAAAATACTCGAATCGAGGACGGTGACTAGGGGAAGGGCCTGTAGCGGTGCGCTCGCTGCTGGGTGAGCCTGGCCCTACCCTGGCTGGGTGACAGCTGCCATTCTGGCCTCCTCGCCAGCGACCGACCCTGGGGCCTCCCGCTCTGCCCAGGAAGAGGCAGGCTCTGGAGCAGCCTCCTGGCCGTGAGGCGGGCCCTGAGGGGACGCGCGAGACACACTGGCAGCTGCACGTGGCAGTTCCAGTTTCCCTCAGGAAGCCACGACGGCGCGCGCACGGGGGGCCGCCTCAGGCGGGCCGGGCTCTCCCACATCCCGTGCCCCCGGCTCAGCCTGGGGTGGGCCCCCGGAGCCGGCGACGGGACCTCGACTGGCGGCGCGAGGGCCGCGATGGCGGCCGGCCCCGCCTTTCCAAGGGGGCCGGAAGCCGCCAAAGCCCTTCCGCCCACACACGGTGGCGCCTTTCGCAGCCGCTCCCACGGCGCGCGGCGCTTAGGAGGCGCGTCATCGGCCTGCGCCGCCCGCGGTTGGCGGGGCGCCTGAGGTGCCGGGGGTGGGGCGAGGCACGCGCCGCCGCCAGGGGGCTTGAGGCGGGCGGGCCGCGGGGAGGATGCTGAGCCGCTTGCAGGAGCTGCGGAAGGAGGAGGAGACGCTGCTCCGGGTGAAGGCGGCGCTGCACGATCAGCTCAACCGGCTCAAGGTCAGGGGGGGCCGGTCCCGGTCCCGAGCCGCGGTGCTGCCTCCCCCTCCCCGTCGGCGTCTCCCCTCCGCCCCCATGTTGCCGGGGCTGCGCGTTGTGGCCCTGCTCTGGTGCCTTCGAGCGGGGTCCGCCCCCCCCCCCTTCCGCCCGGCTTGTCTCCTCTAGGCCCTGCCCCTCCCAAGCCCTGGATCCCGCTGACCCCGCCACTGGAGCCCTGCCCTTGTTCCTTCCCCAGCCCCCGGCTCCGTTGCAGGGAAGGAGGCTCGAAGTCTGCCCCTTCCCTGGGACTCGTTACAAGGGCGCTGGTCCTGTGTGGCCCCTCTTCTAACTAGGGATGTAAAACGTTAACCGGTAAACACAGTGAACCGCCTTAAGCGTTAACCTCAGGCTGGCTGGCCCCACACCGGCCAGAGCGGGCCCAGCCACTCCACTGGGTAGCCGTTCAAACGAAGTATTTTTAAAGCGTTTAAACGGTTAACTTTATTAAAAGTATTTACATCCCTATTTCCAACTATAATCACACCTTAATCCCCCCCATGTACAATCTCTGCTTGTATGTCGAACAGAGAAATTTTAGACTAAGCAGAAACGTATTATTTTCCATTTGTTTGTGTATTCCCTTATTTTCCTTTTCTTTATTTTTTTCATATAGTATACTGTTTGAAAGAAGAAGTGACATTATGATGTAGTTAGCTAAATTTTACTTATGTATTTAATAACTAAAATACTTTAAAAATTGGGAGGCATGATTGGTGATTAGAGCAAGAGCGTGGGAGTCAAGACTCCAGTATTCTTTTCCAAGATTCATTCTGTAAACTTTGACAAATCATTTTGTTGCTTTATAGCTTCAGTTTACTCATGTTTAAAGTAGAGATAATGTCTTTGTTCCAGAGGTTTTGTAAGGCTTAATTCAGTTGTTTTTAAAACAGTTTGAGATCCTTGATTGAAAATGTTGTATACGTGCAAAATACTAAAACATAAATTATTTAACTAAGTGCACTTGTTCTTTGACAAAATTGTTTGAGTGAAGGCTCCTTTCATTACAGCACTCAGGAGATAGCTTGCCATGACCTATACAGCCTTTTCATAGCTATTTCCTGCAGCAATTGTTTGAATGCCGTAAAGTTTTGCAAGGCAGAGTGTGACTGTCTGTGAGATGCCAAGACTGCGGTATGAGAAAGGTGACAGAATTATTAATAGACAATTCACCCATGGAATGCACTGATCATATATCATTTCCGGCAGGGGATATAATGTCTTTTAGAAGCATGCTGGCATGTGCAGAGTTTTCAGCATCACAGTTTTCAGAAGTGATGTCCGTCATTTTATCACCTTTAGACTCAACATATTTAAAAACATTTGGTATTGTAAAATTAACTTCAGAAAAGCATGTGAGCAGAGCAACAAAGCTCTGCTCAGTTTGACGTGCTTTTTTGTATGTATCAGAAATAGATTAGACTTGTCAAATACCAGTAAGCAGGTATAAGAGTGCCACCCAGTATGTAGCAGTGTCTTTGGTGAATAGCTTATATTCAGACTTGCTTCCTGTTTTCTTCATACTGTGTTAAAAGTAGAATTTGTAATTTTAAAGGTATTATTAACTAGTAATAGTTCCTGCGCTGTGGGCTGTTCCACAAGACAAATGATACAGAACCTGGTGTGTAGCTTCATGTTTGTTCAGGATATATAGTTCGCATCAAGATCATCACAAGAGCTCTTAACAGTAGGTACTATGAGTTAAATGTATTGGAATTTACCTTCAAATGGCTATTTTGTCACTCTTCAAAAACAATAAATAGAACTTGAGTGTATCTTGCTAACAGATATAAAGAAATAACTGCTGGAAAGATTTATTCCAATATCTTATTTCTAGGTGGAAGAGCTGGCCCTTCAATCTATGATTAGCTCCAGAGAGAAGAATGTAATGGTCTCTCCACCAAGTATCACAGAGGAGGCTCAAAAAGTAAGGAACACTCGTGCCTTTTAAAGGAAGAAGGCTCACTCATTACTCATGTAATACTACACAGAAGCATAATTATCAAAGAATAGAAAAGCAACAAAATATTATCTGTTTTTGTTTGAGTCACTCTATATGAGGAAGTTTCTGGTAAACATTTTACATAGGGTTCTTATATTGTTACGCTACTCACCAGCTAAGAGTCCAAATAAATTACTTCTCCCTCTTTTCCTCCTAACAACACCAAGTTGTTTCTGGGAGTTGGATTGGGAAACACTTGCCTTACATTTACACAGTTTTAGTTCACAGTCAGTAAAGCTTAGCATGCTGTAAGCAAGGAAGTATAAAGCTTTTGCTGTAACTTAGTTTAGCCAGGATACTACTGGGGATGGAAATTTGGTGCGTTGTCAAATAGTAACTCTTTGCTAAATATATGATCGGGCCAGAGCTAGTTAAAACTATGCTGTGGAGAAGTCGCTGCTTACCCTCTCAGTGGGCTTTATTATTCAGTGACTCCAGTACGGAAAGGTCTCTCTCTAAAAAGGTTGTTGAGGTTCTGAAAGGTGCTGAAGCTTATTTCATTTTTTATTAGCACTGTGAGATCTTCAGAGGGAAGATGCCTTAGAAGTGCTCAGTTTTACTATTCCTCTTGATTGATAACTTGAACTTGTTGTTATACCAGACCCTTGGGCAGATGGACAATGAGGCTGCTATCAATCAAACTGAATTACAGCTAAGTATTCAAGACCATGAAGAGGAGGAGGAGGATGAATCTGACTCCTGAAGGGGGGAAAAAATGGGAGACGGCTGGTGTTATTTATCCTTGACTCAGGAAATTCCCCTTTGTTCAAGCAGAACTTCCCATCAGATTCTACTTGGTGCTGTACACAGATATGAACTATACAAATGAATGAAAGTTACTTTTGGAGGGTTCCAGTGAGGTTAGACTGGTGGCACAGATGACACAAGCTTGTCAGAATCTTTTTTTGGATGTTAAAAGAATGAAAAGTTGTTGCACAAATATGTAGCATGATCCCTTTTACATTTAAAGCCTAAAATGTAGTTTACTACTTGTTTGTTTATAGGTGGGAAAAGTTAATGTAGTTAACTAAACTAATTTAGTGCACTAAAAGCAATAACTATTCCAACTGTAATTCCACAAAAGTGGAGATTAGGAAATTGTGGTGATCTAGGTAATGAAAAATGATGGCCCTTCCAGAATTCATGTAATATTATACTAAGTTAGTGTTACACTTATCAGCAGACAAAGCATTTCCTCTCTTGATGACTTGCAGATACTAAATCACTGCAGCTGATTCTTGTATCATTCCTTAAATAGATGTTAGAACACACAGAAAACCAAACTTGTGTTATGCTGCTAAAAATAGAAAATAAAAGTAATATCTTAACTGAGACACCCTTGTCAACCTCTCATGCTAAGAAAATGTTTATACACTAGATTTTAAAAATCTGATTTATAAAATGTGTGTAAAGCATTCCAGTGTTGATTAGGATTAAGCTTTAAAGCTCCTGTTGATGTCTCCCATAGCAATATTATAGCCCTGCACAAAAACTTAGTAGAAAACCAAATAAGTGTCATTTTACTTATTTAACAAAGGGGGAGGGGGAAGTTTGCAGTATGTTCAGTGTCCTAGGTGTGGTTATAAAACATGAGCCAACTCCTAGACAGCTCCTGCCCCTGGTTGTAGGAAAATATTTGAGGAAAGACTATTGGCTCTTGGTTAAAGCTTAGCTTTGGTTTTTAGTTATGGAAACTAAGTTTTAGAATGTATAACATCATCTTCTGTTGCTGAAGACCAGCCTGGCTCTGAGTGGGCTGGATACTGTTGTAATTGAAGTTTGTCTTGTATAGGAGAATGATTTGCAGGCTTTTCCCCAAACTCAGAGTTGCGGGAGGCTAGGCAGAATGTTTCTGGGCCGGAATTGTCCCAAGTTTAGGTTAGGATGTCAAAATAAACAGATTTTTTTGTGTGTGTGTGTGTATACTTTTGCACACGTAGTTTGTAAGAAGAAAAGGAGTACTTGTGGCACCTTAGAGACTAACCAATTTATTTGAGCATAAGCTTTCGTGAGCTACAGCTCACTCATGAAAGCTCATGCTCAAATAAATTGGTTAGTCTCTAAGGTGCCACAAGTACTCCTTTTCTTTTTGCGAATACAGACTAACACGGCTGTTACTCTGAAACCTGTAGTTTGTAAGGGTTGTGGGACATGACCTGTGTCATTCCTTTTTGTAGCTGTGAGTATATTTGCTGGCACTTCATCCTACTGTCCCCTTATATCTTGAGACAACAACAGCTTGTTGCCCTCTTTTCTCTTGCCTAAACTCAAGGCAAAAACACGTTCTGTAACAGTTAGCCTTAGGCCTCATCTACTCTGGAAAATTTTGGCATGTTATTGTTGACTGAGTGTCTACACACATTTGCTACCATTTTAAAGGCATGCTTTATACCATGTAACCTTGCCGTGATGAAGTCTAAATAACACTCGTTCTTAGCCTATGCTTGCTTTTAAAGTTGTAGTGCTAATGTAGACAAACCCTGGCAGATTAGCTTGCTTGCTACAATTAGGCCTCCTGCCACTGTTCGACTGGAGCCAAATGCACTTGACGTGGTTAACATGTTGCTGGATGTGTGGTAAGTGTTGGCAAAATAGGATTTACATGTTCTGTGAGTTCTGGGCCACTACTACTGTACATATGGTAGTTTTCTACTGGAGACAAGACCTTGGCCTCAACAGCTTTTAAACTCCATTTAAACATAGTTTGTAGTGTGGGACCAAACAGTTTGGGTTTGAACCAGGTGAGTGGATGGATACAGCATTAGCAGTACTGATGGCTGATCTGCTGTTGATGGATGGAGGCCGACTGCCATCCTCCTTCTGCAGCATTTGATCCGGCTGAGCATGAGAAACTGAGGTAGATGGTAGGAGTCCTGGGTGGTAGAATGGTTTGTCCTTTCTGAAAGCATTGGCTCAAAGCCCTAGTGATGGGAAAGCTGCTCCTTTGCCACCAGATGCCTTACTTTGAGTATCATCCAAGGATCAATGCTTTGTACACTTCTGCTCAGTGTGTATGTGGACTGTATTGCCAACAATATTGCAACAGTATTGCAAATGAACACAGCTCTACCTTCTCTCTGCAATGTACAGTGCCACTTTCAGCAAGTTAGTGATTGGCTGAACAAAAGCTGGTTGAAGCTGAATCCAGGCAAGACACATGATGCTGATGTCAGAGAAAAGCACTGAGTTTACAGCCACTGTCCAGTCTCCTTTGGTTATGGATCTAGATCCACAGTTGGTCCAGTCAGTTTGCAATTTTAGGCGTGCTCTTGGATTCCTTGCTGATGCTAAGATCTTACTTAGAATGAGTTGCTTGCTGCCATGCTCAGCTGTTTAAAGGTCTCCATCTTCTTCTGGTGGTGGATTATCTGCCCTCAATATTATATGCATTAGTCACCTCCTAGCTGGGCCACAATCTACATGGACATGAAGCAATCAGTCTGCAGGAAACTCCAGCTATTACAAAATACAGCAGTGCAGCTACTGTGAGCACATCAAACTTGCCTGGGATAGAATGGGATAGAACAGTATTCAAATCTAAAATGAGTTTAACTGATTCAACCAGTGTTGACTGGGCCCTAGTTGGACAGTACTGGATGTATTTGGTGTTCATAGCTACAATTATCTGACCGAGTAATATCAAGAATGGGATCCAGTTTTAGTTTGGTTCTTCGCTTTTAAAAGCCCATGGGATTGATACTCTTCCAAACCTCAGCCTATGTCTATAAGAGCTCAGTCAAAAGCTGTTGGTGCTTTTACCATAAGCCTAGGTAGGCTTGGCAGGATTCAATTTTTAAAATTTCAACAGATGTTTAAGAATTTTTCCTATTTTTATCTATTTAAATTTTCAGTTGAAGGAAATTATAAGGCAGGGGTTAGACAATTATTGAATGACAATAGACATTGAGATTCAAAAAGTTAAAGCTTTATAACTATTAAAACAAATTGTGAACATCACATGTCAAAATATACAAATTAAATATCCTTAAATCAAACTAAGTTCTCAAGCAGCATTTTTCTTACTTTGACTGTCTGTAAATTTCCATCAATGGAAATTTTTTCATGTGTGTAGGGTGAAATTGTTTGACACTTACTGATGAAAAAAGTCTAATCCTTCAAGCCTAAGAATAGTATGTCTTGTATACCGCAAAAGGTTTTCTACTTTTCAGTGTGTTTTTAAAGGTCAAATTAATTTTAAAGAGGATGTATGTAGTTCTTAAAATTGCTTCCAGGGAAAGTTGTTGTTGATCTTATACCTATTCTATCCCTATCATTCCTTGATTATAACAGAGTCCAGATGGCCAAACAGGCAATCCATATTGATCCAGATCTTTTCCCATTCCTCTTAACAAACCTTTCTCAAATGTTTGTAAGTGTGGGTGATCTTTAAATTCACCTGCCTCTGCACTTTCAGGTTGTTGCAGAGACAGAATGTGTGATTACAACAACGGCTGTCTTGAGTATTTTTGGCCCAGCTGGAATCAGAAAGTTCTAGAAATCTCAAAATGTCTGTTCTCATAAGATTTCTCAATCACTAGGTTTTTGTTTTGTTTTTGCTGTCTTTTGGTAGAATGCTCTCACTGAATAGCACCAGAGCCTAATACAAAGGGCCACAGTTTCCTCTGGAAAAAGGACATTTTTATAACAGTTGAGCAAATATTAAACATGCAACAACCCTCACAAAACATAATAGGGTAGGGATTGCTTTAAGCAGTCAAAACTGGCTTCCTTACAAGAAACGCAGTTGACAATGGGAAATGGTGCCCCCAAATATCCATTATTTGTTCAGTTAGTCTGCTTGTTTACATGGGATAGTATTTTTTCTCATGCCAGTCTCACATATGTAGGGTTTGTGCTACATAATTCAGGAGTGGTCAGTTAAGTATTTTCAATACAGGGTCAAGGTACATACAGACTATTGGACAACACTTGCAAAATAGCACCTGACCACACCAGCTAAAGAAGGGCAGAAACAAAGTCCCTCATTTCCCACAGGAGTGAGCAGAATGAGGGGACACTGTTAATAAACCATACTGGACAGTACAATTGAACCAGCATCTGATTTTACACAGCAGGTGCAAATTGCAGCAAGAGGTACATGTGATTATAAGAATGGCTATGCTGGGTCAGACCAATGGTCTGTCTAGCCCAGTATCCCGTCTTCTGACAGTGGCCAATGCCAGATGCTTCTGAGGGAATAACGGAACAGGTAATCATCAAGTGATCCATTCTGAGTTTCTGGCAAACAGAGGCTAGGGACACCATCCCTACCCATTCCTGCTAATAATCATTGATGGAACTATCCTCCATGAATTTATCTACTTTTTTGAACCCTGTTATAGTCTCAACCTTCACAACAGGCAGAGTGCCATGGGTTGACTGGGTGTTGTGTGAAGAAATACTTCTGTTTGTTTTAAACCTGCTGCCTATTATCATTTAGTGACCCTTCATTCTTGTTATGAGAAGGAGTAAACACCACCACCTATGGTGCACACTGGCATCAAAACACAGGCAAAGGTTTCAGCACAGCTCTAGAAATAACATGTAAACTGAAGGCCTGAGCCTCTACCTACTGTGTAAGAAAAGAGTGCTCTGTTCAGAAATACGGTACGTGATGCTGTTAGAGAGAAGCTAGTACCAAACTCCTTTTTCAAGCGGACTCAGGTGAGTGAATTATGTATGTTGAAAGATGAGGATTTGATTCCAGTTCACTTCAACAGGAGACAGTGAAAAGGCCTATGTGGGCTTATGGTAATCGGAATGGGGTTTATGTAACACAATAGTATCAAACAGGTGCTTATTTCCTGAACATATTTAAACAGCTATTTCATTTTATTTGTGCACATGCTCTGCAGCAAAGCTGTGGGCTCTGTCAGTTAAATTCCAATTACTCCCAACTTATATTGAAGAATTTAAAAATACCCATCCTCTAAAGAAGTTACTTGATAATATATTTATTAGTATAAGATTAAACTGGTAGCCATCTGAAAGAAAAGTAATTAAAAGGATTTTCATACATTTTAGACACTATACACACAGTTGTCATAAGTCTTCTTTAGTTGGGTTAAAAGGAAGCAAGTCTGATGCACTTTTAGCTCTTGAGTCTATAGGACATTTAAAAAAAATACCAATTAAAGGAGACACATACTACTAAACAATCCCAAGTATGACAATACATTTAAAAATAAATATAGAAATATAAACAGTCTAAAAGTAGTTATGATGCCCTGTGTTTCAGGGCAATAGAGGACTCTTGCCCGTTTAACTGGGAAGAGTTCTCTACACAAAAGCATTGAGATGCACAGTTTGATAACAACACAAGCATGCTTGACAAATATTGTTTAGGAGGATCTCTAACAACCTTGTGTGAGACTAGATAAGCATGACTGAAGTACCACCAACTTACAAGGAATCCTGATAGAGCTCAAACAATCTGGGACTAAGTACCCCCAGTGAGATTTTCATTACAAAAAATATCCAAATTCACTTAATCAGCAAGCACTATAATTTCAACATCTCACACATTTTAGTCAGTTAAAGTACTCCAATACAACACCAATTAATTTAGGACAAAAATTTAAAACAATCAGGATTTGGCACATGCTAGAACAGACTTCCTTCCTTAAGAGGTGAAATACATATTTGAACAGATACAAGCTTGAGAAATGAGACCAAAATAGCATTGTTTTAACAGATGTACAGTACAAGATTTGCTCTCAATATTCAGATTCCAGCAGCATGCGTGGGGGTACTAGGCTGGTTGAGGCCTGTAGTCGAACAAAGCCATCCTGCAAAATCCACTTCCTCAGCTTCAGATCTCTTAATGAAAACATGAATCTATAATAAAGAGACGGAAGGAAAGAGAATGAGCTAAACAACAAGATAATGGGACACAGATTAAAACAATAACATTAATTATTAACATGGAAATAAAACTTTAAAAAGTCTAATTTACTTTCACCATTCATGTTTCTTTTTATTTTGTATTGCACTCAACATGATCTGATTAGTTAATTTCATTTTTCAGGCTTTATATGCTAGTATAATGAAGCAATATGTGTTGCAAAACATTCTCGAGGAACTCCCGACTGTCATGCACCATAAATATGGTGTCTGATTACAAAGACAATCACCTTAGTGTGCAGTAAGTTAGAGTCACAATTATCCAAGATAGGTAAAGTCATACAATGCACTCAGTATTATGCCTTCATACATTGCTACATTTCCACTATATTAAGTGGTGGAAATTATTTGGTTACCTCTTCACATCCATGATTTACATTGAGGGTTGGGAGAGAGGAAGTCTCAATTCATCTTCTCTTTCTGTTGCAGACTGAGGCCCTGATCTTGCAAGTTACTTTGCATGAAGTGAATGGAATCTGCCCACGCAGAGTGACTTGCAGGACTAGGGACCGAGTGCTGCAAATTCCCTATATCCTTTGATGTTAGCTCTTCTAAAAATACTGATAGTAGAAAAGGGAAGCTGTATGTTCCCCCAAAACAGTCCAAGATGTTCCAACAGATGATAACAAGCCACAATAAAGGAACATGGACTTACTGTCTCTTCCTCTGAAGATAACCAATATATTTTAGGTTGCAGAGTAGCGGCCGTGTTAGTCTGTATTCGCAAAAAGAACAGGAGGACTTGTGGCACCTTAGAGACTACCCAATTTATTTGAGCATAAGCTTTTGTGAGCTACAGCTCACTTCATCAGATGCATTCAGTGGAAAATACAGTGGGGAGATTTATATACATAGAAAACATGAAACAATGGGTGTTACCATACACACTGTAACCAGAGTGATCACTTAAGATGAGCTATTGGGGGGGGGGAGGGGGAGACAGGGGACGACGACCTTTTGTAGTGATAATGAAGGTAGGCCATTTCCAGCAGTTGACAAGATTGGAAATGGCCCACCTTGATTATCACTACAAAAGGTTCCCCCGCCCCGCCCCGACCCTTGCTGGTAATAGCTCCCCTTAAGTGATCACTCTCCTTACAGTTTCAGAGTAACAGCCCTGTTAGTCTATTCGCAAAAAGAAAAGGAGTACTTGTGGCACCTTAGAGACTAACCAATTTATTTGAGCATAAGCTTTCGTGAGCTACAGCTCACTTCATCGTGAGCTGTAGCTCACGAAAGCTTATGCTCAAATAAATTGGTTAGTCTCTAAGGTGCCACAAGTACTCCTTTTCTTTCTCCTTACAGTGTGTATGGTAACACCCATTGTTTCATGTTCTCTATGTGTATAATTCTCCCCACTGTATTTTTCACTGCATGCATCCGATGAAGTGAGCTGCAGCTCACAAAAGCTTATGCTCAAATACATTTGTTAGTCTCTAAGGTGCCACAAGTCCTCCTTTTCTTTTTGCAATATATTTTATAAATTTAATTACTAAATTAAAGCACAGAGACTGTTCTGTCTGCAGCTCATTTAAATAGTGAAAGGGAAGTTTAAGAGGTGAATAATCTGTCCTCATCATAATTAACAAATATCAGAAAGATGTTTCTATTAAGATAGTGGTTTTAAAAAAGAAAGACAGAACCTATCATCACCCAAATTAAGGACCTAAAACAACTAGCTGGATCCTCAGTCCTGCTAAGGTCACAGTGAACCACTAGAATAGTGCAGTGACCTTAAAGCTGCCTTTATAGGGTAGCTGAGGATTCTTGCCATGTGGGAGAATCCTGGAATGGCCATCTTTTATGTCAACTCTTCCTGGCCCAGGGGGGCTGTTCTTGGGGCAGGAAGGAATAGAGCTGGAACCTGATGCAGTCCACCAATCCCAGGCTGGCAGAATTTTCTCTAAGAGACTGTTCAAACTAACTTGTGCTAGGAGCCAGTTTGGTGCTGGTCACAGGGTCGCAACAAGTGAAAAGATAGCTTACACCAGTCTTTGCCTCCTTCTTTGCTCAGGTGAGCTGAGAATTCTACCTGGGCTCTTCTAAAGGACCAAATTGCATAGAGCTATAGTACTGGGTTATCTAATAAAGACCAGAATCTCTTAATAACTGAGCAAAGAGCCTTCACTCACCATGAGTTGCTTCAAATCTGCTCTCTCTGCTGGATTTTTTATTAAGCTGAAAAAAAAAAAAAAAACATAACATGGTAATAAAAAATGTCAAAGGTATTGAGTAATTTTCTCTTGTAAAGGACAGGCTTTTCCAGCAGGTTGTGCTGATCAATTTTTCAGTGTCCTAGATAAGTTTTTCTTACCGCACCCCTAAGCATTATAGTGGTGCAATTCCCACTGATTATACATTTAAGGGTCTAAGCAATTACCTTTTTTTAGGTATTCATAAATGGGTAGTAAAATTATCTCAAGGCTGTAACTTCATATATGAAATTATCCCAGGCGTTGTGCTTTATGTGTTTCTTGTGGGGGGGCAGGAATACATGACAGGAACCCAGCTGGCAAGGATTCCTACGATTTGTGTGTTAAACTGAATTTTCAGTGTGCAAAATATGGATGTTTCCAGGCCTGAAAATCCCTTCCCCAAACATCATCCTTCTGACTGAGGAGGAGCAAGAGCAACTCCTTTTGAGCCTCCCAGCTGGAAGGGGCTGCTGGCTGGCACTGTGTGTTTTGTCAATGTCCCCTACTCCCCTTGGGAGCTGAAAATGCTGCAGCTCCGGTTAGTCAAGACGCCTCAGCCCCAGGAACCAAGAAATAAGATTCCGGGTTTGTTAAATATAAGGTAAAAATTAAACAATTTTTCAGGCATAAAATTTCCATAGGAATTGAATCCACATAGAAAACACCCTGTTCACTACAAGTTTGATTATTGAAGTGGCCACAAGTTTTGGATAACTGGGGAAAGTTCTAGTGTAAATCATCACTGTGGGGAGACAGGACCAAGTACTAAAAGTGTGGATGATTCAGTACCTGATTCTGCAACCGTACCTACTGGGTATAGTGGTTCCTAACCTGCACACCTTCAATAGAATTACTTATGGCTGTAAGCACTACACCCAGCAGTAAGAGTTTACAGGATCAGGCCCCAAGTTTGTACTGTATTCCCTTTTGCAGGTAACATTACATAAAGACCACTGAGTCCTGACTATGTGAAAACATTTGTTCACAGCTCCACAAAGTAGCAACATTCACATTTGGAGAAAGAACTAATCTCTTTGCTTTGGGATCCTTTTGAAGCAAATACATTTTCTGACTAAAAGCAAAACTAATGTTCCAAATATGGTCCCCTTGAAGCTTAACCACCTCATAAAACACTCACCATTTGTTCACAAAATCTTGAAATTCAGGGCTGAAAACGCCACTGGGCAATTTTGGAGGAGGCTGGAAATGAAATCAATGGTAGATTAAAGCAAAAGGAATGAGTGATGCTCTCACATCTCAAGGGGTTGATTATTTTTGTGTTATAAGTCTGTATATAGCTTGTTGGGCCCAGTGGTGTAACAGCAACACTATCCATGCTATCCTTCAGGGCTGAGGCGTTGGAACAAGGACAAGATGACTCTTGCTTTCAGACCAGTGGAGATTAGATACACTGACATGTGATTTCAGAGAGGAAACCTATCCTACTACACTTCACAATCAACACTGGCCAGTTTTTGGAATGGCATTAGCAATGGCTGAACTATAGGTGCTCAGGTGACAGCTAGCCTAAGGGAAAACATTACCATATTGTGTATTATACAAACTGCAAGTTGCACCCGCTTACACTAGGATTCTTCCCTCACATTTCCTACTGTTGCCACAGCTGGTACAGCTCCGCTGATGGCAGCCAAAGGAGGAGCGCTCAGATAGATAAGATGCTGCCGTTTTAAGTTCTGTGTTTTCTAACCCTGCCTAGGATGAGTCCATGTGACACATTTAACCAGAGGCTTCCTGAGTCTCTTGCTAGGGTAGGGCTTACTCCCAGCTGTCCCTAATGATAGGCAGTGATTCAATGCCACAGTCCAATCTTAACTTATTGAGCATCTTTATTAAAAGAAGAAAGCACTCCCATCTACATTACTAAACAGAAGGAAGAGTCTGTTTTTAAAAAGTTACAAATTAACACTGTAATGTTGCATGTTAGCTATATGCTCCTCACCGCAGTTCCCTTCTCTGGAAATTTTAGCTGCCGATGATGGACCCAGATGCTGCTAAGCACCATGCCCAGTTCACATTAAATTTTTCTATGTATAGCTGCCAACAATGAGGGCTTCAAACAGCCTTACAGCAAGTATGTACTGTATAATTCGATTTGTATACATTGCCATCATCTAGTGGTGGTGGGGGGAGAGGCCATTTACATATCTTTATTTGCATAATATTTGTAGCCTAATTTAAATATCCTGCCACAGAGAATGTGTCATCAGGTTCTGAATTAAAAATCATTAGTTAAAATCGAAGCATTTTGGTAAGACAAGAGTTATTTTATGTAAAAGTGAGTAGACACTGCCTTTTCCTCCATGTTGTTAACTACTGGATTAGAGTTAAATCTACACACTTAAACTAGTGAGTAATTTAATGCACATGAGTAGCCCTATTGAACTCAATGGGCCTACTCTTATGCACAGTTACTCATGTGTGTAAGTGTTTGCACAGTCAGGGCCTTAATGTATTAAGAAAGCCAAAACCAGCTGTATTTCAAGAATGAAAACATATACTTAGTGTTTCCATGGAAATGCATGTGCAATCACATTTACTATAGAATGAGAAGTGTTTGCAAGGGACATGGACTTGGCAGCAAGTCAGATTTTGAAACTTTTATATTTATATATATTTATTGCTCATGGATTACACACATGAATCATCAGTAAATGCTTATAAAAGACAGAAGCCATTTTATACGTGAGGATGATGAAAATGCAAGTGTGTACGCACACACATGTTCATTTGTATCCATAATAATGCCTCTCTCTGTCCCAGTGTCTGAAGATTCAGTGCAGCTAGGAATAAGAGCTTAAGCGAAATATCAGCCTTTATGTTTTAACATCTTCATTTTCAGTCCAAAGTGTAAGATTCTGCAACGATACCCACTGTTAAATCTGCTCGACTGACCCAAGGAGAGGTATTGTAAAGCTCTCTGAAATAAGGGCATGAGAGGAGTTCTGTCTTTTAGAAACAGATGCAGTAGCACAGTGGTTCTCAAACTTTTGTACTGGTGACCCCTTTCACAGAACAAGCCTCTGAGTCCGACCCCCCTTAAATATATAAAAGTGTTTTTAATTTGTAACACCACTATAAATGCTGGAGGCAAAGCAGGGTTTGGGGTGGAGGCTGACAGCTCGTGACCCCCCCATGTAATAACCTCGTGATGCCCTGAGGGGTCCTGAACCCCAGTTTGAGAACCCCTGCAGTAGCGTAACAGTAACCCAGGTAAAATCTAGTACTCAAGGAGAACCAAACATCAATGCTGACCGGTAATTATGAGTGTCCTAGCAATGCCTATACATGAATCACCGGTAATCATATTTAATTTATTTGACTTTAGTAGTTAGTAGTTTGTTGATCCCTTGGTACTGGGATTTCTCTTGTTCTTTATGGCAGGTCAGCCCTTGCCAGCACATAGAAGAAGATGCAATAAAGACAAGCACTGGAATTATGTGAGTTTAGCTGTAGTTGGGGAATTCAGTGAAAATCTTGGTAACAAGTTTTAACAAGCATTTTTGTCCTAAAACACAAAACCAAACTTCAAAACTGACACAATATTAGATTGTAACTAAACTCTATTTTAGAGACACAACAACTATACCAGTAGAACAAAGACAGGGATAGTTAAGCAGGCACTTGATATTACTCTCTGCCACCCTCTCTAACCACGTGTCATTGGAAAGCCACAGACCTATTTAAAGGCTGATCTTTGGTTGCAATAGATTACGCCAAATGTATCCCATGTGTAACTTCTAGAGCCCTGCAAATCCATGGGTATCAGCTTTATATCTGTGGATATCCGCAGACCATTTTTGCAGATTGAGATCAGGCGGAGCTCTAATAACTTCATTCAAGCCAGTGCATTTGCACCAGGGATGAGTTTGGTCCACTGTGTTTTTAAAGAGAGCTAAGAGGCTTGTTTTACAATATACACTAAAAAAAAACAAAACCACCTTCAATATGGACCCCAAAATCTTGAATTAACAGTTTAAAAGGGAGTTCTGATAGATGTAAACAGCTGTTTACCTCATTGACGATGTAGTCCAGAAGTTCAAAGATTGCCATTGGAGGCCTGCTGTCTGGTCCATAGGCTACAAATGGATGAAATATGTTAAAAAATAAACCAGACTATTTGTAAAATAAGGTAGAAATACATTCAGTCTGACAATATTACAGTTTTGCTCTTTCAAACACATTGACCCATTGGGGAAGGGTACAAGCACAGGTCTGCTTGACAAAGGCAGCAAAGTTCTAATAGCTTTTTGCTGGGAGCTCCATGAAGCTGGAAGGGAACAGTGTGAATCTGGCTTTCCCTCTTATTCCCTGTCCCACCGCACCTTTGGGCTATGTATTCCTCCCATCAAACCCATCCAACTTTCACATGCTACACTGCATCAGGCACTTACAGCTCATTGGTCGGCCAGGTGTTCTTTGCCTGGGTGAAGTCTCAGAAACTGGAGAGTCTCCCTCTACAGGGCAGCCAAACATCAGCTCCAGCTCCTTGGAATCAGGAGGGGGAATTGGGTATCTGCCAATGGCCATTTCTACCAGTGACAATCCCATACTCCAGATGTCTGACTGCACTGAATAATGAGTACCTTGGAGTCTTTCCGGCTACAAAAAAAGAAAAAAGGCAAAACACTGTAAGAGGTAAGAAAATCACACACTGCAATAACCTGGAAAGAGTGATGGATAAAATAAACAAACACTTGAGCATATGAATATGACTTTTTAAAAAATCGTTATGGCAGTCAGGGACTCCATAATTGACTTTTTTAAAGTGTATGGAATCTGAACTCCCATCAGTTCCTTAAACCTCAGGTACTTTGATCTTTAACAATTAAAGACCATCATTACAATTTAATCACAATTTTAAAATAAATATTGAATCATTAACCGTCAGTAGCACAACTCAGATACCCAATTCAGTTAAATTTATAGAAATGTACCTTTAATGAAGTGTTTAAAACATTTTGTTAATGGTAATTTACTACTTTTTGCAACAGAAAATACTAGTGTTTGAGCTAGTATCTTAGTATTGCAACAGAATTCATTACTGGAACTCACATGTAAATTGAAAAATAAGAAAATAAAAGTTATTTTGGGACAATCAAGGATTCTCCCCTTTCCTCAAGAAAGAAAAAGGGGAAAACTTTAAAGATTTTCTAAATGTCACAAGGCAAGCCTGCCTTTTAACGAGGTTCAAGGTCCAGCCTCTACCTACGTCAGATTTCTGTCCAGAAGACAGACATTCTGAAACGGACAGCTCTCCAGGCCTGACGAAGAGCTCTGTGTAAGCTCAAAAAGCTTGTCTCTATCACCAACAGAAATTGGTCCAATAAAAGATATTACCTCTCCTGCCTTTGCTCTCGAGGGCACATGGAAACTGTAGACTGTGCAGTAGTGCATTTTGCGAAAGCCTTAAATTCCACTTGGGTTTCCATTGCACTGTTGCACAGCTCACGGTTCCCATACCATACCATGAGAATTATAGTCCCAGAATGCCTCTGCTCTGGGCAGAAACTAGGCACAGAACAGAAGCTGGATCCCAAACCCTGTAAAAGGCCAACTTTCCTGTGACACAATGAAACTGGGGCTCCAACACATTGGTGTGTATCTATTTACTGTATTTCAAAGGAGTAATTTGCCAACTGCAGGCTGTATAGCATGATTCAGGAGAGGTGAAATGTTTACCACAGCTCCTGTAGTTCATTGAATAGGCAAACAGTTAGCATTTGCTCATGAGTATTAAAATACCTTTTAAAAATATTTGTTCTTAACAAAAAGAACAATTTCAATGACTCAACTAAGTACTTTTAAATAAAAGGAAATACTTATCAATGTGGAGAATGTACTTATTACGCAACAATAAACTCCAATTTCAGATGTTTCTTTTTCAAAATACTTATTTTACTTCTGAAGAAAACAGATTTAAATTATTTAAAAGGTTTTTCAAAAGTGAGAGTCCGTGCTATTCAAACATATGTTCAGCTTGTAAAAGTAGTGTGTGTAAGTTTCCTGGAGTGCTTTATTGACAAGTATAAAAACAAAGTAAGAAAATATTTCAGATAGTTTCCATGTGGGATGGGCACATACAAAACTATTCAAATGTGGAAATGTAACGTTATTGGGATTGTGTTCTGCTTAGAAAAGATCAGAACACAGAAAGGACAAAGAGAAAAAAAATCTCATGTAAAGATTAAAAATGCAGTATACATGGTGTACACACTCATGCCAACCTACCCTTTCAGCAAGTGGGAAGTATGTAGGTAGGAGCATCTCTAACAGATGGCACATCATCAGCTACAAATATGGTTTTGTTTTTTAAAATTGAATCGCACATTGGGGAAATGAAACATGTATTTCAGGTACAGTCACACTCTAACTAGTCCAGCCATTCCAACAAAAAAAATCACTTGAAAAGGTTCTCAAGATGTCCATGAAAACAGTGTATAAAGTGAAAAACACAGACTGAAATATACAGTCAGTTACTGCACTTGCTTTATTAGTATTGTGTGGCCAAAAAAACAACAACAAAAAAAAACAGTGGTAAAGACTGAAAACACACTCTCTCTTGTAGTTCTAGCATATAAAATAGTCCACATGGTTCCCATATATGTTTTTCTTTGAGAAGGCTCAATACAAAACTTCATTTTGCCCTTCCCCCTGGCCCCCTTTATTGAGCCTCAAGTTCTCCCGAAGATCAAAGACTCTAATGAACACATTTAGGCATTCATACCTTGAAAACGGAGTTTTACAGTCTGATATTCCTATAGGATGTCAGAGTGGTCTATAGCCATTAAACCCTTTAACCAATGACAACTGTGAACCACTATAAAAAGTGTAATTGGTGTTTTATCAATCACATACTATTTCTGCAAGTTCATACTTAGACCTTCTCCAATGTCCCACCTGAGTTGGAGCCAAAGCCCTTTTAGAATAACTACCAGATTTTGGGCAGCAAGGAAGCCACCCCAAAGGGGGATAAATTCTACAGTTTGCAAGAGTATTAGATGAAAAACAAAAGTGAATGAATGAGAAGTAGAAGGCAGCATGGAAGTAGCCATGAAAATGACCTATATGGCAGTAAGTGCATCAGAACAGTGTATAGTAGACAGGAGATAGAAAATAGCTCCAAGCTAATCTCACTGTATTGAGACATCAAAATCAGATGTTGCCTGCAAAATTATCATGGTCCAGCAAAGCGTTTTCGCCGTAGTTTGAAAAACAGTGCTGAGAGAGACACTGAGCAGTATCAGTAATTGCCTGCAAAAGAATGAATTTCAAACACTACTGCAGAGAACAAACAGATTCACCACCATGATTTGATCTTTGAAATATAATGCCATGGGACCGACCTAGACCTTCAACCTGTGGAAGTGACGTGTCACTGGAAACTGAAGCTATGCGACACTTTGTTCCTGATCAGAAGAAAAATAAAAACAAGAACACCAGAGTCAGGGGCAAAAAACGAGGAGCTGTGACAATGTTTTGCTGTTTAACAGAACCCACAAAGCTCAAGTTTGCAACATAAATTGCTGGTTCACTCCTAATCTGACACCCACCTCAGATGACAAATGGAGAAGATAGTGTCCTGAAAAGTAGGATCCATTCTGAGTAGAATGAGCAGTATACCTTTCCCCCCCCCCTTTGTTTTTAGGTCCAGGCTCAATTTCATAGCTACAGAAGAAACTCTCAGGTTTCAGAGGAACAGCCGTGTTAGTCTGTATTCGCAAAAAGAAAAGGAGTACTTGTGGCACCTTAGCGACTAACCAATTTATTTGAGCATGAGCTTTCGTGAGCTACAGCTCACTTCATCAGATGCATACCGTGGAAACTGCAGCAGACTTTATATACACACAGAGAATATGAAACAATACCTCCTCCCACCCCACTGTCCTGCTGGTAATAGCTATGCATCTGATGAAGTGAGCTGTAGCTCACGAAAGCTCATGCTCAAATAAATTGGTTAGTCGCTAAGGTGCCACAAGTACTCCTTTTCTTTTTTCTCAGGTTTCAGAGTAGCAGCCGTGTTAGTCTGTATCCGCAAAAAAAAAGAAAAAAAAAAAAAGAGTACTTGTGGCACCTTAGAGGCGAACAAATTTATTTGAGCATAAGCTTTTGTGAGCTACAGCTCACTTCATCGGATGCACGAAAGCTTATGCTCAAATAAATTTGTTAGTCTCTAAGGTGGTTTCTTGAGTTACAGCTCACTTCATCGGATGCATCCGATGAAGTGAGCTGTAGCTCACGAAAGCTCATGCTCAAATCAATTTGTTTGTCTCTAAGGTGCCACAAGTACTCCTTTTCTTTTTTTAGAAGAAATTCTGAAAGCCCTAGCTTTATGAGTTAATAGAATCTGCATTAAATTGAAAAGTACCGTCATACATTAGAGAGAAAGGGAACCACAATTCATGTTCGTGCTGGTTGCCACATGATACACAGTGCTTCTTTAAATAGCACTTTATTCCTGAATACTAGTTTTCAAAAGAGAACACCCACTAAAGTAGTCCCACACTAGCCACTAAGCCTGGTCTACATTAACCTTTTCCCCCTAAAGTTTCCCTCTGTTGCTATAACTGGTTTAACTCACCCTGTGATAGCAATGGTAGAAGCGCTTGTGTAGACAGCATCTTGCCTAGGCTCGCAATTGTAGCAACAGTGAGAAATTTTGGGGGCTGGGATAGGGACAAAGACTTGTGTAAGGAGAACAAGCTCTGCACACTTTTTTGGAAATGCATGTACACAAAACCCAAAAGCATTAGCTCATTGGATTTTGCAATGCAGTTGCATCAGCATCTCTTTTACAACGTTAGAAGACTCCAAGTCATCAGTCATGCACTGCAACAAATCCACTTTTGAACTTTGATGTGACACTTGAATACTTCAGTGAGGCAGTGAGTAATAATTGTAAATTACTGTAATGATGGCAGCAGTGGTTTCTTGTCTGATCACCGAAAACTATAACACAATGCATAGTAAACTCAAAGTTAAAAGAGCTATACTTACTGACATGTAGGACCGTGTCCCCACGAACGAGTTTGCCATTGAATCTATCAGTTGTCCACTGACACCAAAATCACAAAGCTTGATTTCACCTCTAGAGTTCACCAAAATGTTAGATGGTTTAACATCTGGGGAAAAAATGAATGGATGAGAAGATAGATAGATAGATATATAACATGGGAATATTTGACAATGAAAGTAACATGAAAGGTGGGAGTAACATTGTGCCTCCCTTTGTTCTCCTTTTAACTTCCAACCTGATTCCCTTCCTCTCCCTGGAAGGTACAAAAGGTTTATGTTTAAATCTCATTCAGAATTTCCTGTTTTTCCAATGTACGTTTTGTAGTGTCTACAACATTCTTGTAAGGACTTTCACATTCGGGTCTCAGACATGCTAATATGTACTTTCAAACTTAACTCCATTTTGATGGCTTTTTTTTTTTTTTGGTGCCTAGGAATATTCAATAAAAAAATCATTAATAATCTATACATTTCAGTTTACTGGGTCATGAAATGAAATGCAACCATGTGTCCTATCATCCCAAAAGCTTATAAAAATATTTGAGTGTGTGTAAAAACACAGCAATTTCCTATCTTTAGCAAATAAACTCAGAGTAAATGGGCTATTTTAAACTGAAAACAATCCTGATACTGAAACACTGCATTAAATTAAATGTTTGTTTAGTTTGAGATCAAGTTTACCTGAGAAGGAAGAAAAACTGGCTGAGATTATACATTCAGCACTACTTCCCTAAATGGAAGCCTAATGCAGGTCTTTAGTAACTAGGCAACTACTAACCACCTGCTTATGCATGCTAAAGCGCTGGGAGCATTTCTTTTAATCTTTTTGTTGTAGGTATAAGAAGTTTCTCAATATAACTGACTACTTACCGAGAGTCATTACCAATGAATTACAGGGTTTATAAAACAGGAAGCCACATTTGCAAAGAATGCCACCAATGAGTTTAAAACAAACAAACAAACAAAAAGGTCATTATAAATTTGTTTGGACTGAGGGAGGAATTGAACTTTCAAAATTCCTGTTTGTGCATCTGTGACCCCAGAGCACACAGACTTCAATTCCTCCTTAGTTACTATATTCTCATCACTCAAATCAAAGCACTATTCAAGAGGTAGGTGGGGAAAGATCTGTGCTGACAAATTCTTTTCTACACATTGCATTTTTACTGAATACAAAACACTCTGTGCTGTTAGCAAGCAGACAGTACTTAGATAGCAGGTGATGAGGCCTTGGAAATACCTAAAATGGATAGATTAGACACAGCCTAAAATAGCTTTCAGGAAGTTGGATGCTTCACCGCAAGCTGGGCAAACACTGTATGCACAGCACGCTTGAAGCAGAATCTTTTCTGTTTTATCCACTGCTGCTGAACCTTAGCAGCTCCCACCCCAAGCACATTTTCTTTGATATTTTAGTTCAGAATTTATATAAAACATTCTCCAGGCAGCTTGCCACACATCCCCAAAGGAGTCAGTCTGCAGTTCATGTTCGTAGCAGGGTAATCTTGGAAAGCTGATGATAACACAGCACTCCAAAATAGGGAGGGCTCTGTGTAAAACGTTACACTTGATTTGAAGAGAGACATACAGACCAGGAAACAGAAGTGGAGTGTAAGTGTTATTTGCTTTTTGAAATTCTTGTTGTTGGTTCTGGTTCTGAGCACCACCGCTCTAGAGCAGGTCACTTGAAGATGCCCAGGCACACTGAAGTGCTTTTTCAATGCCTTCCAGAGCTTCTTGAGCTCAGCTACAGTAGCATCAATCCAGAGTAACTACACAGAACTCAGCGCTAGCTTTAAGTCACAGCAAATCCACACCCTGACCTAATATAGGGCCACACATAGCATGGCCCCAAGATCTCAAGATGGAGGGGATGCTGCACACGTCGCTCTCCCCTCCTGCAGAGAAGAGGAACTCAGATGCCTTCACAGTACAGTCTCCCTCCCTGCTACATAGGGCCCCAAGAAGATATCTACAGGGATATATCCCCTACCTACCCCCATGGAGATCTCCTAGGAAAGATAATACACCTACTGCTTTACCATGGAGCCTTTTCTGCAACATCGATTTCCCCTTTACAGGCAGGAAGAGCTCCTGGGGGAGTCCTTGGTAGTACGACTCCCCTGGAGCCTGCTGCCAGGCGGCATGTGCAGGGGGCCTCAATGCAGGCAGAGATCCTTAGAGACCATCGTGGGCTCAGGGCCAGCCTAGCAGCAAATTCCAGGTGGGGGGAAACCCCACCTCTGCAACAGAACAACCGAGGGGATTCTACACAACAAGAGCCTCAAGGAGATTTCATAGAATCATAGAATATCAGGGTTGGAAGGGACCTCAGGAGGTCATCTAGTCCAACCCCCTGCTCAAAGCAGGACCAATCCCCAATTAAATCATCCCAGCCAGGACTTTGTCAAGCCTGACCTTAAAAACTTCTAAGGAAGGAGATTCTACCACCTCCCTCGGTAACGCATTCCAGTGTTTCACCACCCTCCTAGTGAAAAAGGTTTTCCTAATATCCAACCTAAACCTCCCCCACTGCAACTTGAGGACAGGACAAGGAGTAATGGTCTCTTCTACCACTGAGAATAGTCTGGAACCACCTCTCAGGTAGTTGAAAGCAGCTATCAAATCCCCCCTCATTCTCCTCTTCTGCAGACTAAACAATCCCAGTTCCCTCAGCCTCTCCTCATAAGTCATGTGTTCCAGACCCCTAATCATTTTTGTTGCCCTTCGCTGGACTCTCTCCAATTTATCCACATCCTTCTTGTAGTGTGGGGCCCAAAACTGGACACAGTACTCCAGATGAGGCCTCACCAATGTCGAATAGAGGGGGACGATCACGTCCCTTGATCTGCTCGCTATGCCCCTACTTATACATCCCAAAATGCCACTGGCCTTCTTGGCAACAAGGGCATACTGCTGACTCATATCCAGCTTCTCGTCCACTGTCACCCCTAGGTCCTTTTCCGCAGAACTGCTGCCTAGCCATTCATTCCCTAGTCTGTAGCTGTGCATTGGGTTCTTCCGTCCTAAGTGCAGGACCCTGCACTTATCCTTATTGAACCTCATCAGATTTCTTTTGGCCCAATCCTCCAATTTGTCTAGGTCCCTCTGTATCCTATCCCTGCCCTCCAGCGTATCTACCACTCCTCCCAGTTTAGTATCATCCGCAAATTTGCTGAGAGTGCAATCCACACCATCCTCCAGATCATTTATGAAGATAGTGAACAAAACCGGCCCCAGGTTTTGTTCCCTCCCCCTTAGCTAGGTCACTGCCTACTGACTGTAGGAGGGATCCAGCCCATGGTCTCTCTCTGCAGAAAATCTTTAAGCTTGAAATTCCACTCATTAGCAGGGTTACCATATGTCCGGGTTCCCCCCCCCCATCGCCCCTTTTTTTGATCCTCTGCCCTCTATCCAGGTGGATTTTTCGAATAAGAGGCAGTGTCTGTGATTTTTGAGGAACAGATGTTGCAGCTGAGAAGGAGCAGTCTCTGCTTGGTCCCTCCCCTGCAGCCACAGCAGCTGGATCCAGCCCACCCAGACCCCGGCTCCCAGCGCTGGGGAGAGAAGAGAGCCCCACAGGGAGGTGCTGACTGATGGCTGTTGCTGCATCCCAAGTCTGCGCCAGCCACCGCGACAGGGAGCAACACTGCCCCCCCACCTCAAGGGTGAGGCCGCAGGTACCCCTTCCAGCACCCCTGAGGTACCCCTATCCAGTACACACACACACACACACACCCCTCCAACACCCCCCAATTGTACCCTCCCTCCAGCTCCCCCTCTGCTCCCCCCATCCAGCAGTGTCCTCTTTTTGGGAACCTGAAACAGGATAACCCTAGTCATAAGAAAGCAGCAGCCACGGCTCAGCACTTTGGGGCCAGCAGTGAGAGGTTATAAAAACTCCTGGATACCCAAGGATTTTCGGACAAGGCTTGTTAGCCATGTTTTGGTTTTGGGACAGGTGAGGGTGGGAATGTTCATAAGACACTTTGAAGCCACAGCAGCTCCTGGAAAAATGCTGAATGCCATATTTATATTAGTTATATTTATGCACGTACCCACCGGTTTGGTATGTAATGCAGACACAGAAGAAATTTTTAAAAACCTATCGTCATCTCATTTGACAGCTCTCGCTGAGCAGCACAAACATTCCATCTTCATCTTTTCACGGCAAAAGAAACAATTAAAATGTCAGCATTCCATTGTCAGTGAACTTCTAACAGTACTTCTGGTGCTGGGGACTACCTGGAATACAGCTTGTCTCTGAAGGCTTAAACTGTGCCTTGCATGTGTTTTTCTACTGACAACTCTGATAATCACATATTGAAGCTCTTACAATAGCCCAGCAAACTCTGGACTTTGCAATAAAGCCTGCCATTCTTTGAGCATATTCATTGTCTGCTTAAAGCTTCTGATTCGAACGAGAACATGATGTTTGGAACTCCACTGCCCACCCCCCACCTCTGTAAACAGATTACTCTTGAGCAGCTTCCCTGCACCCAGTATTTTCCCAACGCAATTCATATTGCCCAAATCGAACGAGCATGTCAAAACACCCTTCACAATGGAAAGATTTGGCTGCGACACTGAGGGAAAGGACAACCCCATGGAGATCAGTCCCAGGCTCTGTACTATCACACAGGAGAGCTGGCCAGAGTGTGCTGCAGGAGCCATGTACTGAACCCTTGGAGAAGGTGAAAGGGCATGTCGCATGTCACTTAACATCAGTCCCTCCAGACAACTGAGGAATGGCGCTGAGGATTCCCAGCCAGTCCTCTCAAGACAGAAAGATGGATATACAACATTGAAGAGAGGAGGGTGCTAAATAGAGCAATTCATAAGGAAGGCCATAAAGAACCACTGTGGTCATCGAGTCTGACTTCCTCTAGAATGCAGGCCATAGAACTTCCCTGAATTCACTCAAGTCTGAGCCAGAGCATATCTTTTAAAAATATATCCAATCTTGATTTACACATTTTCAGTGTTGAATAATCCACCATAACCATTAGTATATTGTTCTAACAGTTAACTACCCTCACTGCTAAAAATTTGCATCTTATTTCCAGTGGGGGTCTTCAGGGTTTATGGGGACGTGAAGTAACCTCCT